CGGAACTTCGTGAATCAATGTTACAGGTTCGCTTCGCCTTCCCTTCCTGGCTTCCCAATCATTCTCCAAACTCTGAAAGCAGAGCTGGTTTTACACATAAAACTAAAACCAGGACAAACACCACCAGCCCCCCCCCCCAAAGAAAAAGTTCTCAAAAAGTTAAACTCATCCAAATCAAGACTCATTGTCTATAAAAAAAAACACAAACATTAAATTAATGCTACATATTTCCATTCAGAAATGAATGACTCGATTCATAAGGCATCCTGGCCATTTAAAAGGGGCGAAACTCCCCGAAACGCACTGGCTTTAGCGCCAACCCGCCCTCTGTTGCCCGTGGGGGGGCTCATACCTGGACATGGAACAGAGCCGCTGCTCCGTGGGGAATCGCGGCAGCCGCAGGAAGGAACATTGGTGTGAGGCTGACTTCAGGAGGCAACGCAGGGCTGACGTGAAGAACAGGTGTGACTCCAAGGAATCACACCCGGACATGGGGGGGCCGTGCAAACAGGCAGGACTGCACACGCCCACAGTAAACCGCAGCGCTGTTTCTCCCGCCCCTCTGATTGTCCATCTGATAGGGCGGTTTGCAGGCATGCATATAGTGAAAAGCCCCGATCCCCACGCAGTTTCAGGATGCCACTCTAAGGCACAGGTTGGCATTTTGCAGCGGGAGAGACGGTGCAAGGCCTGCAGAGTTCTGCCACCACGTGAGGGGAGCAGACTACAAACCCTGTGGTCTGATAACACTGCAGTCTGGGCTGGTGGTGTGGGAATGAATATATTGCTCTGCATGTCTTCAGTATCCTTAAAACCAATAACATCAAATTTGGACGAAACTAGTGTAAACATTAGTGTAACTCAGGTACACAAACACACACCTGCTGTTTGTGGCCAGGCTGTACCGTGAAAACGGTGCCAAAGCGAACTCCAGTTGCGTAAAACATTTCTTAAAGTGTACAGTCTCGTCACATCTTTTTTTTTTTTGACATCAGCCAGTCCTTAAATCCTTGCCGGTTCCAACATCACGTAACACTTTGACAAACAGAGTTCTTAAGAGTGTCATGGTCGTCATGGTTACAAAGAGGGCTTTTAAGAGCTTAGCAAGCGGTGAATGAGTTTTTAAAAACGTGGAAAAAAAAAGTTGCACAATTGTGTTTATCATTCAGGTGGACTTGGGACTGGGACAGAATGAAGGGGAATCGAACCACAGGGAAGGAGGAAGAATGGAATCTAAGACACGGCAACGGTCGAAAAGACGGTTGGAACTGGTAAGGTGTTCGCAGGTGACCTGTCACCCCATGCCAACCAGCAAACTGAAAGGCAGCTAAACTCGACCCTAACATACAGCACACTTTGCACTTCACCAGCCATATCAAGCAAATCATGCTGAACTTTACAGTCGATCATCAATAGCGTTCTAAGCCCCGCGGGCTTCATTGGTACCATCGTAAACAGCATAACCAGGACACAGCAACAGAAACGGGACCTGCAACACTGAAACACGGCCAGGTCGGACCTGAGATGCCCTGCGCCCGTCCCCCACACAAAAGTAAACAGCAAGTAATACAAATGGTAGCCCCGAGACTTTCATTTACCCCGTCTTCGCCTCCTTTTCAAACGCTGGCCAGCAGGCATCTCCCCCCCCCCAGGTACTATGTCCTCAGCAGTAAAGACGGAGAGTGATTTGCAGCATCGGCTTTCGGGCGAAAGGTTAGGCTTTTATACCTCGACTAACTGGGGGAGGGGGGGGGGTGCGGGGGACACTGAGCTAAACTTTTACAGCACGAGGATTATCACTGACTGAAGAAAGTCCAAATGGGTGAGCCAGCCACGCAAACAGAACAAGACAGAGCCTCACTGAACACCAAGCTGTATGGGAGGTCAATTAAACAAGAGTTCAGTACTGTATGTGGTTCATCAGCCACACAAGACCAGCCAAGCCTCCAGCTTTAAAAGACCCTTTACTGATCCTGAAGACCATCCTCTGTTACTTGTTCACAACTTCTCTCTACAAACAGGAGCAAACATGGCTTCCGGATAATATATTAACATTCTTTATCTATACGCCAATAATGCGGTATTCTGTTCAACAGCCACTTTTGTCCCCTGGAATGGAGTTTCTATTCATTAATTAATGGTTATTTTACTTTCAAGTGGTGAACCAACCAAAATGGTTGATTTTAATCTATAAAATATGCATGCTTCAGGTTAGCTCCAATGTCTATCCATCTGTATATCCATATTGCCATATGACAAAATGCTCATTTTTTATTCAATATGAGAGATTCCATAAGGAACCTCTTGATCTTGATTTTAAACTAAAATTAATTTTTTCTCCCACACCGCAAATAACTCAGAATTCCTCCATTGTGAAAGCACTCAAACACAAGGCACTAAAGTCAAACCAATGACATCCTGATATCAGTTAATACTGGCAATCCAGCGGACCTGGATTAAATCCAGGTCCATGACATGATCCATTTGGGCCACAAACAGCACATTTCACTATTCAGGGCTCCAGACAGAGCATTTAGTCGTATTTTTGTAGACAATGTGACTAAATTTTATAAGTAGGCACAGTAGTGTGACCGGCAAATATGCTCCCCATTTTTTGTGTTTAGGGGGGTGGGGGCATCAGGGCTGTTTAGGCCCCCACCAGTGTTGAAACCAAACACACACCCTTGCACTGACGGAACCACAGCCGACTGTGCTATTAATGGAAAAAGTCGGGAGGCCTGCCGTTGCAGGGAAAAAGAGCCTAATTGAGCAAAGAGGTTGGGCGACTCAAGGCTGGAGATTCTGGAGCATTTCACATTACATTAAAGGTAACATTATCGCGAGATGCGCATAAAACACTAACCTGAGCGTGCACACGATGCCATCATTAAGGGTTAACTTTATGACAAAACCAGCAAGCTCATTGTAATGGGAGATTCGGAAGCACTTGTATCAACTTATGGCAAATGGACTGTATCCAAAACCTGCTTGAAGTACAGGGTCATTTCAAGTCTGCACACAGCCGGCAGTAAGTCACAATAACAGTGGTCATGAATTGCAAATTCACGATTAAATACGTCTCTCGGTTGCCGATCACAGTCTCTGCAGGCATTTCCTTAGCACTGTAAGGACCAGATCGGCTATAGACAGAAGTCTGTTACACGGCGCTCCTACTCCTAGACCATCAGAAAAGCACAGGGGGGGGAAGAACATCCTGAAATCGAATGCCGATACACCAAACACATGTAACTTTTTAAGTCGGAACGAGTCCGACAACGACAAGCCTTACTTGGATCATTTCGTCATGTTTGTCGAATAAAGTATATTGACTAATGATGCCCTGTCACCATATTAACTCATTCATTCCTACTTCACGGTATAAACATACAAACAAACAAAAAAAGCAATGGAGTCAATGGTTTCAACTAGCCGCCCCGGGATGGTAAACCAGACCGCTAAACTGCGTCACTTTGACAGGTTTCCTTGAAAAGACAGAAGCCAGAAGCTTCTCGGTACTGTTGCATACTTACAGCGGGCCGTGAGCCTCCCGGCGACAATCCGAAATGAACGCGTTCACGGCCGCTCCCGTCCTCCCTCCATAACTTGTGCGGCGCCGGGGATCGCGACACTTCCTCTCCGGTTCGCGAGTCAGAGGCAGTGATAACACGCACTGCGCATGACCGTCGACCCATCGCACGCATTTTGCGTAGGTCCCGCCATTCAAAACGACGCAGGCGCTACGGCGCGTCAAAATGTGCAACTAGTGTGAGGCGGCCTGGGGCGTATCTATTGATCCACGTAAAACGCAGTGTAGAGAGTGAAGAGATATGAAAGCAGTTTTTTTCCAATTTATGCGATTGCAAATAAAATCAGCTAATTGCACCTTACTTTTCGCACAATTACTTTTCGTTCTAGTACAAAACAATCTCTTAAAAGCTTTCAAAAGGAAACTAAAACTACATGAAACACCCAACTTAACACCAAATTGATCAGTCGATTCATAGTAGGTTATCGATCCCTAAGGATTACATGCTGCACAGATTTTGGAATACTACGGCGTGACTTGCACTTGCAATAACTGATATGTTTGAAAATACTCGGTGGTAGGAACTAAATATGCTCGTTTACATTACACAAACGGCCTTTTATACAAAGTGACCAACCTATTTAGGAATCTGGGTAGGCCTACTTTTAATTGATCTAGATTTAAAATTATTAATCTACTCATTAGCATGAGACAATCCCAAGAGTGGATCTCTATAGCTGATAGCTGAATGACGCTGTCACGAAACATGTGAAATATTATGGGTAGCTTGCATAGTATAGCAAGGCAAAATTACAATCGTTAATTAATTTTTTTGCAGCGCTAGTCGTGTAAAGTCAGAATGGTTGTAATCAAGTAGTAGGACGCGATGTGTTTTTAATCTGGCCTTGTCTGCACAATCATTGATTAGTTGCACACATTAAAATATTAGACAGTTTTAAAGAGAGTATCCTGCATTTCCTCGCAGGTCCCAAGGATGCCTGCAAAAATAAATCATCTGAATGGCAAATTACCCGTGGAAGAGTTTAAAGGCTCTGCCTAAACCTGCAAGATGACTCATAGAGGTAATCAACAAAAACCGGGCCGCCAGTGGAAATACATAAAGTAAAACTGATTATATATTTAAGCAGCTTAGACATGCTGAGTGAACTACGTACTTATCTTCCTCTCGGGACTCCAGGGAACATCTCCAAGAAACACATACTCTAGATGGACAAGTTACACCAGAAAGGGAGATAAGGCTAAAGCAGACTAAACGTCCTCGTGTCGAGTCATATAAAATGGCATAAAAGTTATAGGGTGGATCGTTTCAAGACCCATATTTCCGTATTTCAAAAGGTTAAATTGACAATCATTTGGGCGGTGCTACTCATAGCCACGCCTCTGCCGGCAGTGTACAGGCGCTTTACTAACCGTGGGCTGTTTCCTGTGCGCCTTTTTAAATTTTTTTGCAGTACGGTTTAATTTATTGTTTATTTATTATTCTCTTTTCAGTAAGAACAAGAAATGGACTGTTTAAATGTAACACAAATTTTGCCAAATTCTCCAAGAAAAACACGAGGACAAATCCAGGTATTGTGTTAACAAGCTGTTTTTCATGTTTTCTTGTTCGAGTTTTGACTTGAATTTGATAAAGGAGTGGGTTAAGATTATATTATTAATGATATCTTGAATGCTAACTTGTATTAGAAATACTGTTGTTTCCCGTGGAGTCTGCAGCTAGTTGACTCCATTTTTTCCATTTATAGTAGTTGGATTGTAGGATTTTTATATGAAGATAAACATTGAGTAAGTAAACATCGTAAATAACATGATGCTTTTCATTTTAGGTAATTTTTGGACCTATGTTTTCGGGGAAGAGGTAAGTATATAGCTGCTTGAATGTGCAGTTCAATAAATTAATGAATGAATGTTTGCAGATTACATTGCATTGTGTACACCGACATCGCGCCAAAATACTCTACGTAACACTCCTGGTTTTAACGTGTCTTGGCAATAATAGAACGTTGCTGATTATTGACAACATAGTACGAATGAATCCAGTAGTGTACTTAAGTGAAACCTAATGAAAATTCATTTATTTGCAAAAAGAGCATCATTAAATCCGGCGTTTCGTAGCACCTAGATGGCGGTATTTTTTATTTACGTGTATTTATTTATTTTTAATGTTGAGCATTGATGTTTTGTACATGTTTTTAAATGCAAACATCAATAGTTTGGTTTACTGTTAAACAATTGGAAAAAGTAACATTTGCGAATATTTTTTTAAAGCACAGAGCTGATGCGCCGCGTGCGCCGCTTTCAGATTGCACAGTACCGCTGCCTCGTGATCAAGTACGCCAAGGACACTCGTTATTCCGACAAAGGGATGGCAACTCACGACAAGTAAGTCACTTGTTTTGGGTTTTCTTGCATGCTTTCACACTAAATTCATCATAAATAAATTTTAATTTGCTATCTGCTCCCATTTCGAATTTCCCCCCAGAAATACGATGGAGGCTGTTCCTGCTAATCGATTAAAGGACGTGCAGTCATTGGCAATACAGGCGTCTGTCATTGGCATTGATGAAGGGCAGTTTGTAAGTGTGCTTTGTAATAATGCCATACACCTTGCAATTTAGTTTGCAATAATCACCTGTCTTTCTCTACCCTCAGTCTTGAGCAATGCAAAGGACATTTGCATTCATAATGATGAATTTCTGTTCCCCCCTGGCAGTCCACTGCCGCAGAACATTATGAAAATCCTGTAACCCTCGACCTCCTAATATTTATCAGCAACTGTATTTTCAAAATACCCCAAATGGGTGGGACAACACGTGGTCCTGGCATCTCTGCAGGGGTTGGGCGATTCCTGTG